TCAGACTTGACTTTATCCGTCCAAGTCTTGCTTGGCGCATCCTCAATGAAGCTCAAGTGAACCTCCTACCAGAAGATCTTATCAGTCCTAAAATATTGGAGATAGACGCTGATGCATTAGTGAAAATCGAAGCTTTAGCCGAATCTGTTGAGGATACCGCTGATGATATGGCACACAATTCTAATGACGCAGATATCTTCGATTCTTCTATTTCTAATGCTTTTTATACTTCTCTTAATATCCAGCTTCCTTCAGATATCTTACAGCTTCGAGAAAATCCATCCTCATCTAGTCGGTTTCAGGACCACATACTATTAACTTTTAATGCTGAACTTACCTTCACTTATTTCTGCTTGGATGACTCTGCTCATGATAGGCAGGCCGACGCATCACTTATTAAATCAAATCCTCCGGTAATTGACTCAACAGCTTCATATTTACTTTCTCGGCACTTGATGCAACTTGCATGCATAAATTAACCCAACTTGAGGTGTGTATTGCCAACTCCTCATCCAAGGATGTGGTGATTTAATCCAACCATGCTCATTCTACAGCCTCACCACTACCAGCCAAAAGGCCCAAAACACTATGGTCAACAATAACTGCATTCAGACGAATTACGCAATTGATAAACTTGAATCAATTTTAACTGAAGATGGGGATTCTAAAGAGATCAAGGCGAAGGATGTGTCTTCTTCTATTGGAAAGCAACGGTTAACCTCCTTAGCTGAGGCGTTGGCTGAAAATGTTAGGCATATCAAGCGACAAAAGCATTTATCAAATATTGTAAATGAATCCAACCATGAAGCTCACTTGAATACCAGAAATCGACAGGTAGGTGATAAATTCTCTTATAAAAATGGACACAAGACCACCTTAAGCTTACGAAAAAAACAGAGAAAACCCAACGAATCTTAATATTCTTGCAGCTCGAGAAATCAAACGAAAGATTATCAAACGCCGTGAAGATTTCATATGAGGATAACCCGAAATTAGAGATGATAAGAAAATAGTCAACCTGAAAATAAGTAACACATTTCACTTTCATCGGCAATGTCTATAAGAAAATATTTGGTCAACCTATGGGATCGCCAATCTCATATTATGATAAATGTATGCATGACCAAATTAAACAAGGAGTTTGGCAAGTCACCGCTGCAACCATGAGTGTTCATGCGGTGCCTAGATGATTACTTTGCATCTTGAGCCTGAAATCTCCCAAACTTACTTATCCTTTGGCATCTTTGTTAGCCAAAATAAATAAAGTAGAAATATGGGTGACTAAGGAAAAGTTATTGGAGTATTATGATATGTATTCACCCTATTTCGTTTAAGGTGATGAAGAACTGGTAGTAAAATTATACTACAATGATATTAGTAGAGCTGATATTTCCATTGAATTTCGCATAGCCTTGTTTACCAAAAGTTGTTCTCATCCAAGATGGACTGCAATTTCGACCTCACATAGGTCTTACCAACACCCCCAGCGGAAGCCGAGCCGTGTTAATGCCACATGAGAGCCGGACACGTAAGCCACTCGGCCACATTGCCACGAGTGCCTTTGGGTCACAGGTCAGATGCAAATTTCAAGGAAGGCCATGGTTTTTTTACTCATCTGTGCTTATGATGGCGCCTCTCACTGAGGATGCCGGCGAAACATTTGGGAAAGTACGCAGACAATAATCCAATGCTGGTAATAACGAATACTATGGCAGAGGACGCGGGATTAGGTACGTTCCACAAAGTCTCGCTGACGCTCCGATCTAGTTGCGAAAAAAATTCGAACCAACACTTGAGTCAATTTAAATCGAAGATGCAGATTCTGAAAAAATCAAGGCGGACGATTGCCTTCTTCTATTGGGCTGCAGCGATAATCTCTTTAGCTGAAGCGTCGGCTGACTCTTCAGAATTTGTGATAAAGAACAACTTAGAAGAGGGGTGAGGAGGGGCTAAATAAAAGTCCATGCGGACGGCATCTGAAATTGGCGATGAAGATTATTACGCTTCATCGAATACACATGAACCGACACATTTATAGGCGATATTGGAGGAAACAACAACACAGAATAGTGTAGATAAATAAACGGACAATCTGAAGTGGAGTTGAGAGAAACGGATACAACACTTGAAGCTAGGACAAAAAAGACAGAAGTGATACCACAAAAGTTGAACAGAAAATTGGGATTGTTTTAGCTTATCACTTTGGTAGTTTATAATTCTATGCTAAGGATAGCGCCTATCATTGACGATGCCGGGTAAGCATCTGGGAATATAACAAGTTAATGGCCCGATGGTTGAAATCATTATAAATAATTGGGCAAAGGAGACAGAACTAGGTACGCTCCACAATGTTTCCGTATTGCTTTGGCCAAGTTGCGGAAACGAGGTTAAACTCACATCATATGGCTAGACTGCGATCAGACAAAAGGCCACAGCATCTTGGTCCACATAATTAACATCTAAAGGATAAGTGTTCTCAAGTAATAATAGTTTAATATAATCATATATAGTAGCTGAGACCCTCAATATATCTTGAATACAAGCTGTATTCATCCTAGGCCACATAAGGTGATGCAGTACTGATAACTTAGTACAGTTTAACTAAGGGTATCAGAGATACTAGCATAAATATGGGTACCTCAGTTGATTTTGACGACAAAATAGGCGTTACCTTATCGAGATTCCCTCTATAATCGCAATTTAAAAAGCGCTCAGCCTGTGGTTAAATACATGTCTGCTCTATGACCTACTTGCACCCGTTGAAATGTGGCATAGTGGTAACGTTTCGTAAATAAAAGCTTAATTACCCGGCTTCGATTCCCGTTTAGGATGTAGACGAAGCCCAAGCGAGGTAGAAACTGTGGTCCAATCAGGATGAAAATGCCTTTTGGGAAGTAAGGCTGGATAAAAATTCAACTATCACTCAGCTTTAAATCTTTCTAGGAAGCACGAGGGAGTTTTTTACGAGTGATGGTTAATAATAAAGGAAATATGATAAACTGAATTTCTCCATTCTTGTGCAAGCAATAAAAGGAAGTGGCTGAATATCAGAAATACAGTTATGAATTCATATGATTTATTAAAACTGGATAGCTTAAAAGGAGACAGGGCTAAGTGAAGTTCAATGACATAATCAGGACTAATGATTTAATTACGCGGAAACTCAAATATCGATCCTTAAACAACCTGGGATTACTAAGTTCTTATTTAAATATTGTCAGCCTGAAATAACATTAGTTTTATAAAAAGCAAATAAAATTAGCTAGGAAAGGTCTACGCAGAAGCAACATTTCTAATAGGAACTTAAATGATCTAGCTATAAGAGATAATTCATCAGATTACAGTGATGAAAAAATAGATTACATTAGATATCGATCAGTACGAAAATATATATTTGTCAAATCATACCTGTCTTGTGTAAACTTTAGGGATTGTAGTTCAGCCTGATTGGAACGGGTGCGTCGGCCACAAGCTGCCAGGCTGCGAGAGAGGCGTGTGAGTACCTGGGCGACTGCGGGATCAACTGGAACTGCTGTAAAAAGAGGGGCCGGTGGGGTAGGATAACTATGGCCTGGACTGACAGCACTTGTAGTGAGTGCGGCAGGAACAGCAGACGAATCATGAATTGAGCCTACGTTGGAATATACGAGAGGTGACACGAGATTAGAGGTAAGGCGAGAATGAATTCTGCTGTGAGAGAGGGAGGTGGAGAAGGTGGAAGAAGAATTGGAGGCAGTAGGTCCAAGAGTGGAGGCCGTAGAAGAGGTAGCTAGGCCGCCGCCAAGTGTTAAGGCAGATACTGAGGAGCCAGACAAAAGGTGGCTCACTGGAATCGAAACTAGGCTGGAACCACGGGTGCCCAGTGTAGGAATACGTTGAAGAGTTTGAACTTGAGTCGAAGACTATCATAAGGAAAGATACAAAATATAATCTATACGAGTTAAGAAATGATTTATTATAAATATTTAAAATATTAAACTAATAAATCTAATTAGCGATGCAAAGGTCACTGTTTTAAAGGAAAACACGAAATGCACTCAATAGAATAATTAATAAAATAATAAATAGAAATAAAAAAAACGGTTTCAATTCTAGGTCAACAAGAGATGCAGGATTAGACGGGAAATAAGTTTC